AGGGCGCGGCGCCGGGGCCTCCCCTCGGCCGGGGGCTGCTCGGGGGGCGGCCGCCCGCCCGCCCGGGGGCCCGGCAGGCGCTGGGCCGTGGCGTGCAGCTGCAGGGAGAGGTAGGCGGCCGCCTCCGTCTGCTTCTGCAGCTCCGTGTCGAGGATGGTGACGCGGTGGCTCCGACGCTTCAGCTCCTCCAGGAACCGGCGCTCCTTGCTGCGGAGGCTGGAGCGCAGCGCAGCCACCAGCGTCTCCTTGTGCTGCAGCTCCTTGCGCAGCTCCAGGTTGTCCTTCTCCTTCTCCTGCAGCTGGGCCTCCATCGCCCGGCACTTCTCCTCCAGCTCCCGGTCCAGGACATCTGCGAGTCAAAGCACAGAGAGGGGTCAGGAGAGGCAGCAGTGGCTCAGTGCACTGCTCCTGCCGGGTGCTCCCAACGTGGATGTGGCAAGTGACCACTCCATGGTACCGGCATGTCCCACCGGTGCCACTGAGGCTGTGCGGGTTCTTCTTGGAGCTGGGGCTCCAAAACTTCCCATGAGCTGCCCGAGCATGGGCTTGCTGGAGGACAGGCACAGGAACCCTGTCAGCCCTGAGCCACGGGTGCCACTGGCACAGTGCCACGTGTAACACCCAAATGTGGGGTGACAGCAAAGGCAGTTTCAGTGCAGGACGTCATTGCTGTGGAACCTGCCACCTCTACCTTTAAAACCAGAGTTTTAAAATTTCCCTAGGTAACTAGGTTTTACCCTAAAAGTGACTTGAGTGTGTGCAGAGGACATGGGGGAATACATATACATGGGCTGGGAAAGAAAAGGAAATGGTTCAGGGAAACCATCAGCTCAACTTTGGCCTCAAGCCCTGGGACTCCCCAGCCTGGTTAACAAGGATGGAGATGTTAATCCAAGATTACAGAGGAGCTGGGCTGTGCTCAGCAGAGAAGGAGGTGATATGCCAGGAGGGAGGACTGGGCTCTGGGCAACCCCATCCTGGTGCAGGATGGCCAGGCAGCCAGGGGGATTCGCACCTTGGGTGGAAGGGCTGAGCTCAGCGGGCAGCAGGAGGGCTGGGCTGGGCTCCTGCCCCCAGCAGCCCCAGCCACCCACTCTGACACCCAGCCCTTGGCAGGGCGCTGCCTGGCACCCGCCCACGCTCCCTGGCCTGCCCAGGCCTGCTCCCGTCCTCTGCAGTACTCTGCTTTTTACTATACAGTTGGCAGTCCCTTACAGCCTCAGCTCCTCAGTGCTGCTGCAGAGGGAAAATGCTTTATAATGAGGTCCCAGGGAGGCAGTTGCAGGCAGTAATTATTCCATGAATGGCATTAGAAAAGCAATCATGTGATGGCATGGTAAAGGAGGTGCTGCCCCATAAACGTGGCAAAATGATTGTGCTCTTTGTCAGCTCTAAAAGGCTAAAGGACCGGCAGGGACCATGGGTGGGACTCGCTGTGTTGTGGCTGATGACACCCTGATGGCACCTGGTGGGCTGGGTGCCAGACCCTTCACCATCAGAGAGCCCACTGGTGCAGGGAAGGGCCCCTGGCTCCACAGGAGGGGCTGGGAGAGTAGAATCCCGCTGGAGCCAGCCATGGCCCCGTGTGAGGGTGCCAAGGGCAAGGACCCCAACAGCCCAAGTGAAAGCGGCCCCCGCCCACCCTGGCACAGCCAGCCCTGGTGCTGAGGACACAGCGCAGGCTGGGGCTTAGTGCCAGGGACTGTGCCCAGGCAGCACCAGGGAGGAGTTTCAGCTTCACCCCTCGGATGGAGGAGGGAGAGGAACCAGGCTGCTCACAGAGCATCCACTGCCAGTGGGGTTCCTGGGCAACACCAGCATTTATTGGGCTGCCAGCAGCCTGTGAACTGCATGCTGCCTTCCCAGCCCTGCCCCCAGCCCCTCTGTCCCCTCAGCCAAGGTCCATGTCCCCTCCCTGGGCAGCCCCAATGGGTCCCCTCTGGCCCAGGCTTTTCAGGTGGCCCCCACATCCACACACGCTTCCCCTTACCTTGTGCCCAAAGCTGTCCTCTTACCTTGCTGGCGAGCCTCCAGCTCTTTCATTTCCAGGTCATGGGTGAGCTCTGGAAGAGAAATGGAACAGGACTGAGGAGGGGCATCCCACCCATCCTGCACTCCCTGTGTCTTCCTCTGCTCCCTGCAGGGCACTGGACATCACTGAGGCTGCAGCGCTGCCTCTGCCTGACCCATGTGGGAGCATGGCCATCAGGCTAAGCTAAAAATAGACAATTCCGGCAATTTATGTTATTAAGCAGCCTGGTGGCCAAGGCAGCATCCTTGGGTCCTATCCCACAGCGGAGCGGGAGGCTCCATTCCTCTGGCAATGCCTTTCCTTTTTCTAAGAGAGCTGCTAAATCATTTTCAGTGCTTTAAATCAGGGCAAAGAGCAGAGCAATGGACTGAAAATAGATCAAAGTGTAAGTTGCCACCCGAAGCATTTCATAATTTACTGCTCCAGGCCGATCGCTGCCTCTGCGTGTGACGCAAGCGGGACTGCCTCATCCCGGCACAGTGTGCCTGCAGGAGGATGCTGCCCTGCTCCAGTGCAACGTGGAGCTTCCAAATCCCTTCCAAATCCCACCAGCTGCAGCCCCTTCCTGCCTGCTCAGCCCTGACATGCTGCCTGCTCTCTGCCTGCTTTCTGCTTAGTCCTGGGCTACAATACCAGCTCACAAAGGGCAGCTCAGGGACCTTCTGGAGTTCACTTTGCCATGCACAGTCTTACAGACAATCCCTTTTGAATTAATTATCACAGCCCACCCACCAACAGCCCTGAGCAGAGGAGGAGAGGGGCAGCAGCAGCATTCAGCTGTTTGAGGGCTTTTTTTCCCCCTGAAAATGAGTTCAAATGGTTAATCTTTGCCCTACATTTTTCTTTTAATCTGCTTTCATGTTGACTCTAATCCTCATCGCTGCCATCCTCCTGAAATGGAACACTTGGCTCAGGCTGCTCTGCCTGTCTGTCTTGGAAAACAAATCTGTAGTGAGAAGGCAGAAGTACCTGAGAACATAATGCAGTTTCTGGAAAGCATTCAGTGCTCCTGACTGCCCCAGTGGGAATCAATGGCCATTGTGCAATTTTTCTAAAGCTAAAATAATAAGTTTGGAATCTCAGATATATTCCAAATGAAAACCAAAGCAGTTGCCTATTTCCAAAGACACTGCCCTGCTGAGCAAGTGTAGGGATGACACACATACAGCCTGGGGTCTAAGCTTCTGTGCTGGAGGCATGGGGGCTGGTAGGGACCTGCCCCAGTACTGTCCCCACAACCCCCGAGGGGCAGATTAGAACCAGCTCTGTGGGAGAGAGAGCCCTTCCCACAGGGATACCTTGGAGAGACCAAGGGAAGAGTGAAAAAGTCAGAAACAACAGTGCCAGGGAAGCAGACACGGCTCCACAGGGCCCCAGTGAGGAAGAACTGACTGACTGCCTCCACTCTTCTCCTGCAAACAGCCCCCCTAGATAATGGCACTCAAATGTCAGCAAAGTCACCTCAAAACTACCCAGGGGTTGCCCCTGTCACTCTTGGCAGAACAGGCACTGCAGAACCACACACCTCACCTGTAGGACAGGACCTCTCCAGTCAGACAGGGCTGTCCATGGGTCACACTGGGAAGGGGAGATCACTCATAACCAATTGTGCAGCGGGCTCATTTCATCCCCTGGGGACAGACCCCCCAGCCTGATTTAGGCAGGAAAACCCCACTGTCTTGCTTGTCTGGAGAGGCCATAGATGAAGCCATTAAAACAATGAAACAGAAAAGCAAAAGCTCAGAAAGGGTGGGGAAAACAGCCAGTTTTATCAGTGCAGACATGTCTTTGTTTCCCAGGAATCCATGAGGACGAGAGGCTGGAAGACAAGGCGTAATTAACTACGGCTGAATTATTGATGAGAGCAGTGGCACAAGTTGGAATGAGTTTGAGTGGTGGCAGGAGGCCGGGCAGCTGTCACTCCTGTGGGGATGGCTAGAGGGGACAGTGACACTGCTGCAGTGGGGCTGTGGGTAGGGGGCTGGCAGCTGTGCACCCCACAGCCACAGCCAGGCAGAGCCCCGAGCCCTGGGCTGCAGTTTGGTGCTTGCCTTCCCTGCATCCTGCCCAGTGCCTGTGCGAGTGCCCTGAGGTGCCAGCAGGAGCTTATCTGCCCAAGGTGCTCTGTGAGCAGGCAGCTCCCACACACTGTGGCCATCCCAACGCTCACCTGAGCAGTGCTTCTGCAAGCGGAGGATCTCCAGGTGCAGGTCATGAAGCAGCTCCATCTGCTCCTTCTTTAGGAAAGCGATGTGCCGCTGCACGCTCTGGATCTGGTGCTCCAGGGACACCGTCTCCATCGTAACCAAATTCACGGTCCAGGCCTGTGGGGAGCGGAGACGGCTGGTGATGGAACATGCAGCAGCACACAGGGCTTGTGAGCCCCAGAGCCCTTGTGAGGGCCAGAGCCTGTGGGTGCAGCGTGGTGCCTGCTCTCTACCCTTTCCACAGGGATGTGGCTGTGGGTGAAGCAGCCCTGCTTAGCCAATCCCCAGGGAATGGCCCCAGCCCTCTCATCACCCAGTGCCTGCAGCCAGGTCCCGTCCTGCCTGCTCAGAGACTGCATGGGCAGAAAATGCTGTTGCATGGACCCCGGCATTGCAGCAGCCATTTCTGTTCTGAATTTGGCCCAGGGAATATTTTATCATGGAGCAGGATGCATCTGGGACAGGATTGCTCCCCACCGTCCCCAGGTGGGAGTTGCACCAGAGACGAGTTTGGCTCTCACTTGACAAGCCACACATTATGCACAGTAACTGCAGCAAGGATCCAGCACATGAAAAATACAACATGCTCCGTCTAACCCGATCAGCGCTGTGTGGCGAGAGGAGTCATGTTGTCTTCCAGGAGAAGAAATGTCTTCCCTGGTAATTTGCCTGGCAGACAAGAGCTGCTGATGTCTTAGCTGGGCTGGGGGTCCAGCACCACGTGTCACCAATGGCTTCAGCAAAGCAGCTGCGTGAGCCACCCACCTGTGCTGCTGCACAGAGAGATAAAAATACCCCCTCAAAGAACCCTTAATCCTGGGAAATAACATTTAGTGGTGTGTGGAATCTGTCCTTGCTCCCCACACTCAGCCCAGGAAGGAGGGAAGCTGCAGCAAAGTAAGGTAACCTGGCAGTGCTGGGTGAGTGGCTGGACTCGGAAGACCTGAGAAGTTTTTCCAATCTAAATGATTCTGTGGGGAGCTTGTGCCGCAAGCCTGAGGGACAGTGTGCACCATCCTGTCGCTGGGAGGCTGGTTCCATTCCCTCCTTCATCCACATCTGACTCCAGTTGTCTTTCTACAGAAACTCCTGAACCAAGCGAGCACTCTGGCTCACAGTTCCAGCACACTCGGCATGGTCATATAGGGCATTTTGAGATCATTCCTGCAACCAAAATCAAATCAAACTGCATTTAAGATCGATACCACAGTAAGCAATCCTGGCAGTGCCCCAAGGTCAAAGCTTTGTTCCTGCCAAAGGCTCTGCAGGTTTTCTCCGTGCTCCTGTATTTGATGAGTTTTGGGGTGTGGGGTGGTTGGAGGCAGCTGCAGCACCCAATTGGCAGGTATAGGAGTAAAAATGATCCAAATTGTGTTCTGCTGTGGTTGTCACTGCCAGAGGGGTCAGACCCACCTGCGCCAGGGGCTGGGGCTGGCCTGGCCCCTTGGAGGGTTTTATGTCCTGGTGCCAGGGCAAAAATTATGAGAGTTAACTGGCATCTGCAAGAGCCATGGGCTGCAAACCACACCATGGATACACCCTCCTGCCAGCCCTGGCCGCGATGGGCTGGGCTCTGGAGCAGCTTCTTGATGGGAGTTGTGGTACCTCATCTCCAGAAACATCAGAAAGTAGGTTGGCCGAAGCCCGGGGGACACATAGTGCTATTTTCAAGCACTTTGTTCTGTTTAGTTGAAATGTCTTCAGTAGAATTGGCTGCAAATTTTCCATTGAACTTTCCCTTCTCCCTCTAAGTAGGAAATTACTCTTTTTTTTAACCAATGAAAATGTTTTCCTTTAAAAATAAATAGTTGATAAATATCAAGCTCTAAAGGAAGAAAAAAATTGTTTTTGAAGAAAACAAATCTGAAATTGAGATCTGTTTATCCTCTCTGACTTGGAAGTTGAAGAGTCTTCATAATTTATCTGTGTATGGGATCAAAAGAAGTCTGTCTCCAAAATTGCTGTGGGAAATCTTTAGTGGTTTGAGTCAGCTTTGCCTGTCCAACATGACTTTCACTGTTGCTCTTGAGAAACAGCTCTCAGTTTGTGGCAGGAACATCTGGTGTCTCATGTTGAGGAGAGAGCACCTTGCTTTGTCTAGCCATGAACCTCCCACCAGCACTAAGGGAGGCAGGGGCAGGACACAGGGGCAGACAGGGCAAGACACAGAGACAGGCAGGGCAGGAGCTGCCTTCATTGGAAATGGGGACAGTGCTGGAAACAGTTGTGCTGCTGCCCAAAAGCAGAGATGGGAAGAGCTTTCCTGGGGCTCTGAGGACCTGAGACTTCTGCTGTTCACCACTTGCAGCCCCCTGGGTGACAGGAGGACTGTGCTGTCTCCTCTGCAGGTCACACAGCTCTGCCTCACAGGCGTTGATGCAAGAGCCAGAGCTGTTAACAAAGCTGCAATCTCGTCCTGAGGTTTCAGGAGCATCAGTGAGGCGTTGGAGTGTCCCTGACGTTAACAGGGCAGTGGATAAGCACTTGCCTCACCAAGGCCATGTCCACCCGTTATCCCAAAGGGTTTCAGAACCAAACTCTCAGCAGCTGGTACCTTCCCTCCATGGCTTCTGAAGTCAAGTGGGCATTGCAGCAGCATCCTGAGCCTTTAGTTTGATGCATGCCTTCGGTCATTTCACACAGCACGATCCTTGGGCAGTGTTGGGAGTTAATAAGGATTAGCTGCTGTTGGCTGACTTAGTGCTCACTGGGCCAGCGCAGCTCCCATCTAGTAATGCCAAAGGTCCCCATGCCGAGGGCTTCAGAGCACCCACAGGGGTGATGACCATGAGTCTATGCAGTGAACTAAGGCAGGAACCTTCACCCCGTGCCAGACATGAGACCTGAAGCACTAGTGACTGGAGCTGTCCCTCCCACCAGCTCCCCCTGCCCAGCTGGACGAGTGTGGCTCCCAAAAGGATTGTTGTACTGCAGTGGGTAGGGATGAGGTTGGATGCCCCTGCTCTGATCCCTGCCTTTCTGCTTCCTTCTCTTTTCCAGACTAGTTCTAACTTGCCAAGGCAACTGGTGGTGGAAGCTCTCAAAGTGACCGTGTACTCCATGGTTTTGAGGAGTTATACATGAGGTTACAACTCTAGAAAACAACATCATTCATAATAAAAGCCAAGGGTAAGTGATAGTCCTCTTTAGCTTGAAGGATACTCTGTGCTCTTGTGCTTCTGAGAGTGGTACATGTATACACACAGAAGGAAAGGAGGCAGCAATCTCCTAAGAGGTGGGGTTTGCCCCTATTCAAAGTTGACACCTACAGCCTGAGCTGGCCCCTGCTCAGCTCTGGATGAACAGCTCTCTCCAGTTTTGGAGACTAGACATCCAGAGGGCTTTGATCCATCACTGAGAGCTTTCCAGTAACAGGGTTCCCCTGCTGACCATCTAAGACTTTGAGCACAGGACTGCTGAGCCAGTGCTGGGCTCAGCCCCCTGCATTCCCCACACGGGATGACCATGGGGGCACAGTCTTGACTCCTGAGCCTTCCTATGGGCCTGCCCCTGCCTCTAAACCACATTTTTTCCTCACTCCTTATCCTTTCACCATGCAACCACAACCTTTGGGACAAGCACATAGGGAGTCCTGATCTCAGCTGGTTGTTTCAAAGCACTGTTGAAAAACCCCAGTGAGATTTGCAATTTCATCCCAATTTATCAAATTCTTATTTCACAAATGAAAATTACTGAAGCAGCCTCTTGAAGTAGCTACAATGACTAAATCAGTTGCAAGAGCTGATTTCCTTTGCCCAGGTTGATTTGCTTTGGTTGAGAATTTGCTTCCAAGGGCAAAACTCTGCTGAAGTCTGTTGATCAACACAAATCCGAATCCTAAAACTTTGACCAAGAAAAACCCTCCATCCCGATGATGCATCTGAAAGGCAGATGCAGGGTTGCATGTCCATGTACCCCTGCACACACACCATCACAGCAAGGTCCGGCCCTTATCCGTGTGATCATTATTCCCCATAAATGGCAAAGTAGCTGGGAGTCAGAGGGCACAAATGAGGTTTGCAGGAACAGGTCGATAATTTGTCCTGCTGTGCTTGCCAGCAACCCCCTCTCCATCACATTAAAACATATACAGGAATAAACACTGATACACGTTAGAAATCCATAGTGCTTAGTATTTACAGCTCAAAGAATACAAAGGAAAACTTAGCAGCAATGCCATGAGGCCAGTGTATCTTTAATGTAGGGAAATCAGACAGCAGGAAGCTCAGAAACTTGCAGAAGGTCACAGAGGCAGTGGCAATGCCAGGAATAGAAACCAGAGGTGAAATCCCGGCCTTGGAAAAGTCAATGGGAAACCTTCCCTGATCTCAGCAGAGGCAGAATTACACTCGGAGTGCTGTTTGCTATTCATTATCTGTCAGTATCTATTTACAGATAAAATCAATACAGACGTTGATTATAAATTATTGTGTTTTCTCTCAATTCTCTGAGCCCAGCTGCCTGAGGAACAGCCCCAGCGAGGCTTGTCAGGGGGCTGCGGATGCTGAAGGCAAGGCCGTGCTTTCTCCTCCCGTCTCCGGGGGAATTCGCTATGGATCGAGCTCTGCGCCGGGAGCCGAACCGGGCCCGTCACGGCCGCTCGGGGCCGATCCTCCTCCCCGGAGCTCCCGCGGTGCCGCCCCGCTCTGGCAGCGGCGCTTCCCGGTGCCGGCGCTGAGCCCGCAGCGGGCGGCAGAGCC